CTGAGATTTCAATAATTCTCCAGCGGTAGAAACATCAGATACATTTTTTTGTGCAAAATGTTGGTTTCGAAATATCACACAAGCTACTGAAATGCAAGATATTGTAAGACCACAGGACTGCATCTGGGGTCAAACCCTGGCCCTATGGAAATCACTGGGAGTTTTGCCATTGACTTCAATTAAGTCAATTTCATCCCTGGCTTTTATAGAGATCTGTACCAGAATAGCTTACCTGTGAAACACATCAAAATCACTCAGCCTGAAACACACTTTCATACGTCCATCAGATATGCATACACAAAAGCACCCATAAAAATATTGTTTCTATGTGCAATTAACTTGCATTAAATAAACTGCAAATATCCTGTACACTGCTGTAGTACTAAGGGCCAGTGTCTTTGGCATCGAAAGTCCCAATTTGTTTGGTGTCAATGACCTGTTGTGACAGGTCTTTACAAAGTGGTGGCCTGTAGGGGAATTTGAACTCCTATGGACATCAGATAGCTGGAATGAGTTTCCTCTGAGCAGGAGAGTTCATACCACCTTGGCTAAGTGAGTTTGATCAGGTCTCCCTCATGTGGCTGACCCATATAGTGGATAAGAGCCTACTACTGCTAACAGCTAATGGAGTAACTCCTTTAATTTAAGTGACCAAGGCCTGTATTTTTGTTCGTGAAATGCCCCAGGTTCTAGTGCAGCGTATACCCTACACTTGGGGAGTACTTTACACACATAAGTAGATTTACTCCAGCTATCAGCTTATTCCTAAACACCCCCTCAAACAACTCTGTTAGCATCTAGAAAAAGTAGAACTTGAAACAAGACAGACCATTATACACATGGTTACCAAAATACAGCATTACCACCTTTGAGCAAATCTAGAAATCATCAGCTAAAGGTATGTAACCGTGGTACACCTCTACCCCGATATAACGCTGTCCTCGGGAACCAAAAAATCTTACCGCATTATATCGAATTTCCTTTATCCGCCGGAGCGCGCAGCCCCGCCCCCCTGGAGCGCTGTTTTACCGCAGCATTATATTGGGTCGCGTTATATTGGGGTAGAGATGTACCCTTGACACCAATTCAAGTACGAACACCAATAAACAATTAATTCCTACTAACCAGCACCCAGACATCCTTAACTCTGCCCCAAAACAAAATTCACTTACAATTAGAGCTGTGTGAATAGTGGATTTTTTGGTTCACTGGCAAATCCGAAACCACCAAAACAAAATTTGATCAAACCAAAAAAATGTTTAAGCAAATTGAAAAGTTAAAAAAAAAAAATTCCGGACAAACAAAACATTTTATTCAACCCAAGACAAAATTTCATTTTGAACTTTTAGCTTTTTAAAATGTTTAAAATAAGACTGCTGTAGCCCACGAAAGCTTACGCTCAAATAAATTTGTTAGTCTCTAAGGTGCCACAAGTACTCCTGTTCTTCAAAACAAAACATCATTTCAAACTGAAAAATCCCAGGTTTCCTTTTGGCAGTGTTGAAATGGAACATTTCAATTATTTTGGATTATTTTTCCTGTGATCAAAACAATTTGGCAAAATTTCACAAATTTGACACAAATTCCCAAAATGTTTCTCTCTCATCAAATCTGCATTTTACGCCAAAAAAAGGCTTAAATAAAAAAAAAGTAGCCGAGCTCTTCCTAGGACTATCAAGTCTAATCCAGTCTTATCCACCCATCACTCAACTCACAAGTGGGCAGCCCTGACCCTGCAACATGAGCCTCCCAGACAAGCCTCAGCAGTCCCATGGAGCCCCACATGCTTCCCAATGCAGGATCAGGGCCTTAATGCTTCACTCTTATTCATGCAAAAGTTGGGAAAACTGGCCTTTAATTCCACCACTTGCAACCAGGTCAAACAAAGACACTCTTACAATCCAAATCTCCTCCAATGCCAGACACAACTGTGTAGCGGTTACTAGCACCTTCCAGCCACTGTGCAAAATAATTCCTTGCACCCAGAGCTTGAGAAATATCACATACTGTGTCTGAGCTATATTCAGTACCCCTGAAAGGTACCTGTTCGTGGGGCACAACTTAGCTTCATGGCCTCTCTAATGTGAAGTGACTAGAGCAAGCCTTCATGGCCATTCTGCAAACCCAGATTTGCCAGCGTGCAGCCTTTCCTGCCCGACGTGCTCTGGCATACTACTATACTGTGGGAGCAGGGCCAGGCCTGAGTGGCACAGGGCCACGGTATCTTTATTTTATCTCTTAAGCAAGATCATAAAATTACGTTCCTTAGATTAAAACAGGAACGGCTAGTGTTGCAATGAAGCATCACATGTACTAGTATTATCTGTGTTACACCAGAGCACACGGCCCCCAAGTGACATCCAGGGCCCCATTGTGGTGGGCACTGGACACACAAGTAGGACAATGCAGACCCTGCTCTGAATTGTTTACATAGTCTATTACTATTGATCTGCAGTAGTTCCACTGCATGCTAACAGCTTTTCCTGGCCAGTGCTCCAAGGAGCTCATGAACCAAGGACAAACAATTAGACAGAGCTCAGGGAAGGGGAATATTTACCTAATTCCAAGACAAGACATCACAAGTGGGTTTAACCAAACATAGGTGGGAGAAGGGGAAAGAGAACCAGGTTAACCCCAATGGTGCAGTTATAAATGAATTAGATCCAGGTTCCTTTTATCCGTATAGCATGAGCTGCCAGAGATGCCTATAGTTAAGAGTTGTGTGATACTCTTCATTATGAGACTGTTTTTATTTTGTTATAACTTTGCTAAACTTCAATTGTTCACGCTGGTATTTCCATGTTTGTTCTCTGGCTCAGGCTTGCAAGAGACAGGGGGTGAAGAGGGAGGAGTTTCAGTTAAAACCGTTCAGCTGTTTCCAAGAATGAGGTTAGGGGAAAACAGATAGTTTTGCCAACGTTAACTTTTTGGCCAGTTGTTTCTTTGAAGAGCTCTAGCACCCCCAGACTTTGTAGCAGGGATTGGAAATTTGGCAGAAGGATGGTCCTGGAGTCGAGGAGGTGCCTTTTGTTGTCATTTTGAAAGTCCAGCCAGATCTGGTCAAGTTAAAAACAAGTTAAAATGGTTATTTGCACACACTCTGTATTACTGATTACAGGTTTGCTGCTAAAAATCTCCAGAGATCCATCTGCACCGAGTACACTCCAGCCCAATGGGGCTTCCTACACAGTTGGCACAAAACCAGAGCTCCAGCTGGGGAAGACAGCAGCGACTACCCCCCTAATTTTGCCTACAGGAAGGTACTTGGGGTTGGGACCAGCAGGAGACAATGGATTCTCATCTCAGCTCTTCCACTGACGGACGTGAATTATGTGCATTATTACAGAACAAGGCCTGATATTTCTACTTTAACAGGGTAGTGGGCATCATCCACCCAGTCAGATGGTGGGCATGTGGGGAGGAATAGAGAGCCCCCCAGAAAACAATATATTCTCTCCACAAGATAATAAAATAATAATATTGATCTATTTACACAATGGACAGGAACTCATCCCTAGCCCCCTTTCTCCTCTCACTGCTACAGAGGGTATTCCAGAGAGAGGATGGATTGTCTGGTAGTGAGAGTCCTCGCTTGGGCTGTGGGAGCTCCGGGTTCAAGCATCCTGTGAGAGCCTGGGCAAGTTACAGTGTCTTTCTGTGCCTCAGTTCCCCATACATAAAACAGGGATAACAGCACTGCTCTGCCTCACAGCCGTGCTTTGAAGACAAATACATTAAAGATTGGGATGAGCACAGATCTAGCACTGGACTAACTTCTGCAGCCTCCATGGCGCTG